ATTTACATACTGAACATCTTTCCTGGCAGAATAAATGGTCATTGTTATTATGCCTTTATCATCAGTAGGATTAAAAATGATTAATAAAATGACTGTAGTAAAGGCCAGGAGCAGATGTATCAAACAAAACTTTGTTGAAAAATTCAGACTTAGACTTCTAAAATCTCAAAAAATGTACCATTACGGTAGTGTTGGGTCTGACATTGTCATGATGCTCTTTTTAAAATTTTCATAAAGTATATGTAAATTAACTTGTATTTGTAATAACCAAAAAGTCAGACCCAAAAGTTCTTACTTGTTTGAACCCCACACAACAGACGAAAAATAATTAAATCATCGCTTTATTATTGATTGAAAAATCATTGCTATCTATAATGCTGTTGTGAAACGATGGACCACTGGTTTTTTTTTCTTCTTTTTTTTCATGTGTGATTCAAACATTATAAAGATAAGCAATTACTGTATTAACTGTGAAAATTTTCAAGAAAAATATTTTTTTAAGAAGACAATCAAAACAAAACTACAAATTCTAAGTAATAAATCTCAGCTTCTAAGTAACTTAATATAACGTCAACAGCGAAATGTTTAAAATTGCCTGACACACCCACTCTTTTGCACCGTCCCCGCTCCCTACTACTCCTGTCCATCCGCACAAACAGCACGAAAAAGGAAAGGCACTTAACATTTCTTATCACCTTCGAGAAAAAACTGTTTCAAAGAAGTCACACCCGCATGTAGTGCACTTTTATTGCTCTAGATAAAAATTTCTGTGAGAACCCAGACGCAACAAATACTCCGACTTATGGAAAAATTCCAAGATGAGATAAACACCAAATGTTGTTTTTAGTCAAATAAAAACGAAGCCACACACCTCATCGGCCATTGGCGCCCTCCTTACTCCAGCACTGAAATAAACAACCCCATGGAACTACCACCATGTACAACTAAACAACCTCTTTTTCCCCTTTCCTTCCCGTTCTCAATAATATTAATAGTACGTTAAAAAAACATGATTATTCAGAAACATAAATAAACAACATGAGAATAATTACTGATAACATTTATACTTAGATTAATAAACACGGCTCACAAAATTACTATCATCAATACTAATGTTGTTACTATTACTATTACGTTTATTATTACTACTCTTATTGTTATTCTTATCACTATTACTATTATCATTTTTATTATCATTGTCACTTGTACGATTACTACTACCACTATTTTTATTATAACTACTACCACTACTAGAACTTTTGTAATTATTACTACGATTATCATATTTACTATTATTTTGTTATTACAGCTACTTATATTACCGGAACTATAGTTATTATACGTGCTATTATTTTTTTTATTGTTATTATTATTACTATTTGTGTTACTTCAATTACTACCGTTATTATCATAGTTATCAGTAAATACACTTCTATTTATTTTCTTTAGTAATTAAGTGTGCTCGCTCTTTAATAATAAGCACTACTTTAGTAATAATATAAGTCATAAGAAATGCCAGCTGTAAAGAGAGACGGGAGAAAAAAAGGGATATTGTCTCCCCTCTCTCTAGTGAGTTGGACTGGGAAAAGGACTTCCTAAAATTTGCAAACCATCACGTGCTCGAACCTGAGTGGTGGCTTTGAATTATGCTAGGGCGTGACCTAGAAATCAAGCTTTCCCATTCAATGATCGCTTTTCCAGTTCGCACTCAGGACCTCTTCGCAATACCCCAATTTTGCGTGTACACAAGGACGGCATCCCTGAATTGACTCATGTAAAACCGTATATAAGGCCCGAAGCCTCCTACACTAGCCAGTCTCAATCCATCGATCCTATTATCCTCGACTCTCTTTTGGTCGAGATTCTCGGATTGACTCGTCTTGGTCAAGCTTCCTATACTGCTGCTCTCGATTAGTGGCACTCTTCCAAATCATCCTCAACTCCTTCAGTCAAGTACGACCTTACATTAGAATGAACTTTTATGTTTGAAATTTGTAGACAAACTGCAGGTACACTACAATACGCACCTACTCCCACTGTTTAAGGACTAAAAATGTAGAAATAGTTTGCCTTGTAAGGTTACCTGCTCCTAGAACGCGTTTTTAAATAATACAGTTTGAAAAAAAAATAAAAAATAAACATTGCACTTAATAACATCACTTAATAAGAAGAAAATCGTATTAAAATCATCAGTTCATGATTAATAAAGTATTAATTTTTAAAAAAAATTTTTAACAGTCATCTGATGAAATAACTTTTAATCGAAACAAATGACTTTTGACAACAATGACAATAACTGTTGATTACATTAATTCAAAATTTAAAGTATTTCTTAAGACTATCTCTGAATATAATGATCACTTACTTCAGAATGGCTTGATTACAAGAGTCATTTATTATTATCAATCGACAAAGACACTATTTTTTGTGGTTTTAATTTTGCAGGTAAACAAAATTACTGACTAACATTTTTTTTAGACCTTTTGAACAGCTACATTTTTTGTACAAACTTAATATTCGTGTAATCTATTCTTTTTTCCCTATTTTAAGAAATCAGTTTTTTAAACTTTGTGAATGTTTTTAAAAGTGATTCCGAAAATTTAGTTGCTTCTGAAGACAGATATTGAAAAGTCTAGGAGACTTCAATAGAGTATTATTTTTTAGCTACAATGTCTGTGTTTTCACTAAAACTCTAAATCTTTTACAGCACATGTTATTATGTACGAGAGTAAATTCAACCATAAATACCAAAAACCGTTATCAGCTTGGGGGCGAATTCTATTACAAACAGGCAGTTCACTATTTCTGAGAAGACAACTTAACAATGACTCTTGTGTAAACAAAAATATAGATTACTGTACCCTAGACTATTACCACTTGATTACAGATAACAGAATTTTGTAAATACCAATTTTTATACATATCAAGTATGATACCAAAATGAGAACAATAGTACATATTTTAATTAAGTCGTGATTTGAACAAATAGAAATATTTTGAAAACAACAAACATTTAACAATTCTTGAAGCATGTAAGAAAATGAAAGTAAATTTTTGTACGTGTTATAAAAAACTGCAAGGTATATCCGCATTTACTTAGAATGCCAATCAGTCAAGGCTAAGTTATGCAGTATCGTTTTAACATGTAGCATTGTCTTTTTTTTTTCATTGGTTTGCTGCTTCTACTTTGTATACTATGTATTATATTTTGTCTTTGGTGGCTACGTGAAAACTTTGCTATGTGCCATAAGCACCTTCTAGCATGATACTTTCTCTTTGCCTTATTCCAATAGTCTTATAACTTATCAATAACAGTCATGTATGAGTTTAGCAACAATATATTATATTGAATTCCTTCTGTATTCTATCAACCTTAACTTTAACTAACTTAACATTACAATTTTTTATTGCAATCGCTAAAGTACGTATTTGATTCTAATTTGTATGGACATATCTATTTTATTTTATTTTGTTTTATCAAAGTCATATTTTATGAATTAGTTTTTTCCGATCTAGACATAAAGTTTTTGGCATTAATTAATCGTGTTACAACTCAATTCTCACTCGCAGAGACCTTGGTCGTTGTTCATCGTGTTTCTCGCAATTTCTGACGAGCTTTAGAGATCGGCGCGTTAAACACCAACCGGTACGGATAAGGCAATTTTGCAAGACACCATCACGTATTACGCTTCTTTGATCTTCCAATTATTGATAAAAATTTGTGAGCTCATTCTGATCCCTACGTACTTAAAAGAAACAGTAACCATCTGATCTTACAATGATTAGAATGGCAGCACACTTCGTCTGGCCAGCTTGTTAAAAGGGTACTTTGAAGTTTATTATAAGTTGTTTGCCTGTGCTTATAGAAAAGCTGGCTGCCTTGTAAAATATTCACTACGTTGAAGTGTAACAAAAATGAGTAAGGATATATAATAAATGTGTAAGCAAATATTGTATAATTTTATATACCGTTTGCTGATTAATCGTTGTGTCTTTTGCATGATAAATTATGAATAAAATTAAACTGAAATCTCACTTTGATTGTCATCTGTTACTTTGTGAAGTTAAATAGCACCAAATATAAAGCATTTTTTTTTTTAATTTTCCCAAGTAGTTAACTCTTCTAACTTGTATATTGTAACATTATCTTTATTTTATTTCCTTATTTAATACCCTCAATTGTTAGTCTATTGAAATTATCACATTCGCAAATGAAAACTTATATTAGTGTAAAAAATAATAGTATGAAACTCCATACATGTTTAAATTAACTTAATGTTTGTTACCTTAGCTAACTAAGACATTATGTTCCTAGCCCATAGAAAAGTATTAATCAAATTCATTATCCCTCTAGTTGTTCCGTCTCAGTCAGACTTTAAAAAGAATCAGGTTTTATTTTCACTGCCTGTAAAATTTTAATATTTATAGCATGTTTATTTTATTTTGACTACAATAACTTAAAAATTTTATTGTATTATACTCGCAAAGGTTATTAATCAGCAAATATTATGTACTACGACTAACATCCTTGTAAAACTCTGAAAGCTATCTTCATCAGCTATGTAAAAGATAGAAAAGCTACTACGGAACTCCAATCTCTAGCTTTATAACACTACTCCTATTTACTTTACTCTCTCTCTCTCTCTCTCTGTCTGTCTGTCTCCCCCCTCTCTCTCTGACTTACATAAAAGCTTATGCAAGAAAAAAAGGAAAGTAAAATTTGAGTTATCAGAAAATTGTGTACTGGACACCCTGGTATTTAGAATCTCACTAAATAGTTTATTATGTACAAAATATAAGCAAAACTAACGTTTACTAACAAATTTTAAATTGATAGTGGTTTAAGTGTTGCAAACATTCGTATCATCATGTACAGACCTTAGTTATTATACATCAAAATTAATTAGGTGGTATGAGTATATGTATTATGTGAGTAGTACAGCTTGATAAAATGTAATTATAATATACATAAACGCAATCCTTACCGTTAAAATACTTACTTTGCTAATCTAGCATATTTTTGCGCTGGTTCTGGGCCAGCAAGAAAAGCAGCCTCTGCCACCTCAGCAAATCCTAAACTTGGTGTTTGCGTTCTTTTACAAAGAATGTGTGCACATTTAACTAATATATGCACACAATAAGTACAAATTGCACCAATGAAAAAAGTGGCAAATAATCCAAAAAAAAGACCAGCACTTTTAAATGCCGCTGGCATAGCAAGAATTCCCGTCCCTAAACTGCCTTTTAGCAGATGAATAAGAGTATCTACATCGCTTGTTGGATGAGTTAACCGTCTATTTTCAAATGGGTTGTATAAATCACATTCTTCATCACTTTGTCTTTCTACTAATGGTAGTGTTGATCCATTTAAAAGTGTAAGAGGTAGATTATTCTTTTCACATTTGTAGCTGCAATGGTAAAAATGTTAATTTTAAATAAAGTAATAGCAAAGATAAGACAACGTCCTTTACAGTATTTTGTAGTAAATGTCAATAAATAATAAAATATTTGTCTAAAATTACATTTTATCTACTATAAAACAAGCCCTTAATGATAGGCCCTCATAATCTATTTCAAAGATATCTGCAAAAACTTCTTTATTTACAAGTGTCATAGAAATAAAAAATCTACACAACTGACAGTTTCGCTTATCACAAAACTTAAAACAAGACTTTGAAACTAAGCTAGTCATAACTTGTTTTGCAAAAAAATTTAGGCTTTAGAAAGAATCATCGCTTTACTAAAAATCCAGCCGTTCATAAGAACTAAGAAAAGTAAAACTTTGCATTGTCTTTTAATTCACATTGGTATACGGTATAAACTTTCATGAGAGGTCAAGATGCAACATAGTTCTCAAAAATAATTATCAAACTCCTCGAAAAACAAAGTTAAAGTCTAGAAAAAAATGTTTATGCTAGATAATGAAGAAGAAAGTATAAAAAAAGTATTTACAAAAGGACCTGTCGTAGGAGTAGCAAGGATAACAAGTGTACAAATATGTAACAAAGTAGTAACAATTAATAAAGCATATGAAGAGGTACTGTGGTATTAATAGAAGTGGAAGTCGTACTGTTTTATTATTTAATTAGAAAAATTTGTTGCAAAACTAACTATCCTTGGTATTTCTAAAAAAGACGTCTTTTTTTACAATTCATGCGGAATTTAGGTATTAAATAATAACCCTTAGGCCATTTTAACAACATTTTCTGTGTTCCCATACTTTTGATTAATTGTTCCAGCATCTTTTTAACTTCTCTTATTGCAAATTAAACTTGCTCAATTTCTTGGTTCTGCTTCATTCTTAGCAATACACCATTACCTTCCTCAGAGGCAAGGTCCTCTTCAGTTTGGTTGATCAAAACAGCCATGGTATTATTCTCCCTGACGTTACTGCCTGTTAAGAGGCTTCATCTTTACGCTTTATCTAAAAAAGAGCATAGAGCATTTAACAGGCCCTGTTGACCACGTGAAGCATCTTTGCGCTCCTTCCCCAGAATTCGTGGGGCTTACGACAGTCGTTCAAGCTTCAACTAAGTTGGAACTGGTCAATGGATTCCTTAAGAGAGGTTACCTCCTAGGGTAAAAGTTTTACTTGGATGTTCTTTGTTTTAGTATTTTCTGCGTTACGTGTAGACCAGAGGAAGTCAACCTAACTCTTTTACTGGAAAACTAGTACCTGAAAGGGGTTAAATCAATGTTTCAGCCCTCCCTGTTGATAGAGAAGGGTGCTACTTACTACTTACTCAAGCCAGCCAGAAGTAACCTTTTTTTTTTATAAGTAAGTTTTTTATAAGGTATTAAAATAGTGTTTGTACGTAGTAAATATTTTTATAGGCATACTACAAGTGTCCCAGAAAGATGAGCAACAGTACCAATCCATAATGGGAGCAGAGGATCCAACAGCAAAGGCTAATCTAAAGAATACTTCAAAAACTGCTACCATGTAGTCTTACCAGTAAAAGTAAGCATTGATTAATCATCTCACAACGTTTTTTTTTGTTTATATGAGACGTACAGCTATATCCAATGCAGTTTCCTTAAGAGACAACCAGCATGGAGAAACTAGTAAAATCCTAGTAGAAAGAAGTAGTAGCAGTAGTGGTGTTTTTTTGTGGAGGAGTAAGAATTGCATTGACGCACACTATTACTATGGTAGTATGGAAATCTGAGGATTTTTTTTTCACAAACCTATACCCACAAAAACCCCCAATGCCACGTGGCTTTTGATCAACCTAGAATGGCATGAGTATTACTTCATGGTAGAGCCACTTAGACCGCTCGCCATACTTCTAAATTAAAAATTTGATGCTTAAGAGAGTGTTTTTAATGAGTTAATAAGATGTTTTTGGTAGTATGATTACTTAAACGCACTGATTATCGAAATAATAATAAAAAATTATTGTGATTGGTGAATTAATGTTAAGATTGTAATAAAAATTTTATTTTTCTAATATTTTGTGAACGGTGGCATACATAAAAAAAATAAAAAATCAGCCTGAAGGGTGAAAATTTTCTATCACTGAAGTTTTTTAGTTCCCTTTCCACACGTACAAAATTTTGTGAAGAACCTTGAGAGGTCATATGAAGTATAGCTTACTGTACGCGTAAGTTATAAGGAAAGTGTGGTCACCTCGAGCGATGACAACAAAGCCAAATTTACCTTCATGCTTCATCCGATTCAGTACAGGTAGCCAGAGTAACAGCGTAGTACTGTGAAAAGAGAGGCAACAGCCAAGCAGGTGCTACTAAATTGGATTTTTGATTTTTAATGGGCAGCACTTATGACTTTTTCTAAGGTATAAAATAAAACTTTTTAAGGTTTAGAAAAAGTCTAAAAGGAACAAGTTTTTTTCAATTTTTCAGGATATCTTATCAAATTGGCATAGTCTTAATCAGGTGTTTTTTTTTTTTTTTTTCAATGGAATCTGGTGAATGATGTAGTTTTTATGCCTGATAGTAAACTTAAAAAGATGAAACATTAGTTCTTAATTCTAAAATATTGTGTGAAATACTAGTACACAATATTCGTTATAAATGTACTGTAGCAGAATGAAACTCTAAAATTTTCTGCAAAGTAAGTATATTTTGCGTGGATTAATGTTACGATTAAACAACCTACGTTATTAACGACACTATAATACTCAGAACCTTTTGTCAGAAAAATGGTAAATATAAATAATTGGAAGAACAGCGTCAAATGTTACAAGTTTTCTATTTTTTACCAATTAAGAGAACATTTAGTGTGCCTTAACATTATTTATATATTTAGAGGACTTAAAATTATAGTTTTCTTACTGATTTAACAATATGGTATATTCTGTACTTGTGCGTTTTTTTCGTCAGGGTGGGAGAATTCCTTGATTCACACCGCAGTGACTACAGTAATATTGAACTCAGTAGATTTCTTTTATCAGACGACTAATACCCACTGCACTCCCCCCCCCCCCCCATTACCACATAGCTTTTGTTCTATCCAAAAACCGTGTTAGCATTATATCAGGGTGGATCAACAAGGGAGATAATCATATCTCACAGTATTAGCGAGCAAGCTCGCCACTAGTTGCTAAAGGTTCCAATTCTCTTGAGTCCTGATAATCAGCACCCGTTTCTAGCGCTCTTTTGTAAGTTGCATTATTTGCAAGCATTATTATGTGATTGATGACTTACTTAGCTTATAATTAGGTGAACTCAGTGCAGCCTGGGTATGCAGTACGTTTTACTTACCATCAAAACCTTATTACCTCAAAAGGCCTACTCAGTGACCCCCGCACGTTGCACGATAACTTGCTCCTTTTTTTCCAACGAACGACAGACCTGATGTAGTCATCCATAACCCTTCCACCTACTTCGGTAAAAACATCTTAGAGATGATGTTTTCGGAAGTGCGTGCCGTGCTAAGCCTATTTACAAGCTTCAGGTGCTTGCGGTACCATCTCTTGCCCATAAAAAACGTGTGTTTAACGTTACCATCCAACGCTAGGCAGTAAGCGCATCTGGATGATGTTATCACTGTCATACGATGTAGATAGGCTTTAAACTGGCCATGCCCAGAGAAGAACTGAGTAAGGTAGTAACTGATCTCTCTATGTCCCCTCTCTACCTACGATCTTAGGGCTGGTATCAGCTAGAGCATCTTTTTACCCACACCAGCCTGATTTTATTACTGTTCCAACGTTGCCACTATTCTCTTTCATCTGTTGCCGTCAGTTTTGTCATTGGAGCACAATGACTTCTTCTGCTGTTCCAGTCCAAGCAACACGATGGATACCAGTAATGCAATTACCATAATGGTGGTGGAGGAGACCAAGCGATAGGGGCATGTGATCCTAAGGAATCCAATGCACTGCACCAAAGTAAGCATCTTTCCAGCGCATCTACCCACATCTCTCCACTGTATATTAGTATTAAGGTGATGACCGATGCAAGAAGTTGTCTTTTGGATTCTCTCAGACCCCCAATATTTGGAATTAACCATCCAAGCAGTTTCACAACCCTACTGGATTTATCAGCAGCTTTTATGATGTGCTCCCAGAAGGTTATTCGAAAGTCAACTCACACTCTTCTGTACACCAAATTTTGTGCTTGGCTTCCTCTCAAAATCTCGCTGTGACATGCAATGCTATGTCATCTATAAAGTCCAGCTTGATCCCTGAAGGCAATTCAAGGCACAGGAACTCATTATAGAACAGTTTTCAGAGGCCAGAGCCAAGGGCAGAGCCCTGAACGATCCCCGACGTCAGGCGCACCTCTCTTGATCCGTCCTTCGTATCGTACTGGAGTATTTAATCCAGAAGATAGTTGTCCAGTATCTTATGAAGGTAGTCTGGTACATTCTGTCACTTTAAAACCCTTGTTATGTTGGATCATTAGCGTGAGTTGAAGCCATTTTTGACGTCAATTGTCACTAGTATGCACACGCTCCTTGTCTTCTGTGAGGGTTTCTATGTCTTTCTAACTGACTTAAGAACCTTGGCCACAGCCATAATCATCAAACACTCCCAACAAAACCCGTACTGGTTGTCCCTGAGGCTGACCTCACCTCTCAAGCGAGTTTGTATCAGCCCCTTGAGCATTTCATTGTGTAACGTACATAAGGGTCGGAATGATGAAATGAATGGGGGAAGTGGTTTGCCCTTATGAAAAAGGACGAACCTTTGAATCTTTGAGCACTCACTAAACAGTAAAATGCACAAGCATGCATTGAACATATCCGGCAAAACGTGTGGCTCCTCCACAGCTACAACCTTGAGAATTTGTGACAGTACCTTGTCTGGACAAGTTCTTTTCTGACTTAGATGGTATCTACGAGAGCACCGATCTCCGTTCTTTACGGCTAAAAAAAATCACTTGGTCTCAATTTACGTTTTCTCATCTCCACTCGGGACGCTGTGAAAAGAGGCAAGAGACC